TCTCTGAGTACACTCATGAAAATTTAACTGCCTTTCATGCTGCTGGGTCTTTTTGTAAGCAAGCCAACAGGGTGCCTAGCCTTTTTCCCACTCTCTACCTCTCAACCTTATGTCCCCAGCACCGTGCAACTCAGTCACTAGAGGTGGCTGCCCCAGGAAGGCCGTGGCCTAGGCTAGAGTGGATGCCTGCAGAGGCATGCGGTAAGGCAGCCTTCCCTCTTTACAGGACGATCTGGGTAGCTCATCTCCATGTCTACACAGCAGGCCAAGGGAAAAATGTCTGGGCAGTGAAGATAGTGTATAGTCATTTTGCTTTTTTAGTTGAAAAAACGTATTTTTAATGATTTAAAATTAGGTAACTGAGCAAACCAGCAGAGAAATAATGAGTAAAAATAAGTACAGTAACAATAAATGTAATTATTAGTAAACAAAATGTTATTATAGGCATTGCTTTTATTTCCTGACCAACACAGTTCTAGAACGTGTAAGGCAAAAAAAGAAATAGACATACAGGAGAACATGACAAAACTATAATTAGGGAATTTTGATATAATTATTTCATAATTTGGTCGGGCATGGTGGCCATGCCTGTAATCCCAGAACTTTGGGAGGTAGAAGCAGGTAGACCGCTTGAGCTCAAGAGTTTGAGACAAGCCTGGGCAATACAGTGTGAGACCCATCTCTACAAAAAAAGTTAAAAATTAGTCAGGTGTGGTTGCATGCACCTGTAATCCCCGCTACTCAGGGGGCTGAGGTGGGAGGATTGCTCGAGCCAGGGTGGTGGAGGTTACAGTGAGCCGCAATCACACTGCTTCACTCCAGCCTGAGCAACAGAGCCAGACCCTGTCTCAAAAAAAATTAATAATAATAACTTTCCTAATTTGACAAAGTAGACAAATGATGATACTGGTTGGTATTCGTATTTAGTGTTTATACCCTATAAACACAGAATCTGCATTGTTCTCTTGTGTCTATAGAACATTTACAAAAATCTGTTTCTATGGCCATAGGAAAAACCTAAATGAATTTTAGGGGAAAGGTATTTTACTCATCCCCTTTTCTATCCCACTGTGATAAAAAAAAAAAAAAAAAGAAAAATTGACAGTGAAATAATAAGTAAAATGTAAATACTTGAAATTAAGAAGCCTTCATATAGATGATTCCTAGATCAAATTGAAAATAAGATATAAAGTGACAAATTTTCTGGAAGTAAAGAGAACATTTCACATCCAAACTTAAGAAGAAATTGCTAATGCATTTAGGAATACTTTATAGCCTAAATGCTTTTGGTACTATTAAAAAAAAAAAGAATGATAAACTAAGTATTATCTAAGAAATGTTTTTAAAAAACGAAAGAAGGTATTAATGGCAAAAGCTAAAATTGATATAGTTGGCCACAAAACAATTAAAAGGGGAATCTGACTAATGACAATATATATATGCAATATAAAGAATGTACATAATCACATGCAACATTAGGAATGAAGAAAAAAATTACCCAGATCCCAAAAGGATTAAAATAATTCGATAAGACAATGTTATGTTCAGGTTTATGGTAATAAATTTTGAAGTCTAGAGGAAATTGATGTTTTTCTAATAAATTATAAATTACCAAAAATGTGATTCAAAAAAAGGTTATAAATCCCAAGAGACGAATACTACACAGAAAAAACTTGAGTGCATGTAAAGAAAGCCTTCCAATTATATGAAAAGTGTAAATTCCTTCATACCAAAACCTGATAAAGAAGGCCATAACAGTTGTTCAAGATCACTCATGAAAATATGCTTTTAAAAAGGTTAAGAAATCAAATCAAAGTTAAAATTTATTCTAGAAATATGACTTTTTAAATTGTGTATTTTTATATTTCTAGAAATAAAATGATTTATATTTCTAGAAATATAGTGATTTATATTTCACTCTAAAAGAGTGATAAATGAAAATAGCCAGGAGTGAATTTAGTAAGATGTAAGACAAAAAAAAAAAAAATTGTAGTAAAAGACATAAACTAACGTTTGAAGAAGTATAGTGCTATACTACCTTTTCAAATGAGAAAACTTATGGTCCTAAAGATAAAAATTCTTCTAAAATTACTATATACAATCCCAGTGAGAATCCCAACTTGGAAGGTAAAAGTGTTGTCAGATCAACCTGATTTTTTTTTTTTTTTTTTTTTTGAGGCCGAGTTTCACTTTTGTTGCCCAGGCTGGAGTGTATAGCCCAGTCTCGGCTCATTGTAACCTTTGTCTCCCGGGTTCAAGCGATTCTCCTGCCTCAGCCTCCAGAATAGCTGGGATTACAGGCACCTACCACCACACACAGCTAGTTTTTGTATTTTTTGTAGAGACAGGGTTTCACCATGTTGGCTAGGCTGGCCTCAAACTCCTGACCTCAGGTGATTTGCCTGTATCAGCCTCCCAAAGTGCTGGGATTACAGGCATAAGCCACCACATCTGGCCCAATCAACATGTTTTTAAAGGCTACATAAAAACATAAATGCAAGAAAATTTCCGAACTTGAAGGAAAAACTGTGGGGAAGTTGTGCCAGCAGGCATCAAGGCATCCTATTATGTGACTGCATGTAAGACAATATGACATTAGCTTAGGAATCCACAAGTCAGTGTTTGGAACAGAGTAGATGCAGTTACTAAATCAATGTATATAGGAAAACTTAATGTACGCTAAAGGTGGTTTGTCTTTCCAGTATGGAAAAGATTATAAAGTAAATGATTTAGGGAAATTAGCTGTCCATCTGGGGCAACATTCCATTTGGATTAGATTCCATTTGAAGTAAGATCTAATATTAAGATGGACCCATAAATGTATTAAGAGAAAATGTACACCAAAGGTGGGAGAATACATGTATAACATCAGGTTAGGGGGAGCTCTCTTTCATAATCCATCATCCAAAAAGGAAGAATTGCAAGATAGGAAATTTATAATCCATAAAGGAATAGTTGGCAAATTTGATTGTGTAAAACTTTAAAATGTCTATAATGGCAAGACATGCCAAAAGAATAATAATACTTCCAACCTCTAGGACAGAGCTAATGTTTAATATATGAAGAAGTCTCACAAGCTGATTATGAAAGAAAGATAAAACAGTCCGGCATAAAAATAGTTAAAAGGTGTGAACTGGAATTGTAAATCACCATTAAACCTGTGAAAAGAATCAGCCCCATTAGCAGGGAGAGAAGGCGAGTTAAAACCACTGAGATGCCCATCAGGTGAGCAAACACTTTTAAAGACGGCCAAACCCACTGCTGATCAGTGTGTCAATAAAGCAGGCACTCTCATGCACGGTTGGGCTGAGTGCTTCAACTTTTGCATGGAAAGAAATGTAGCAGTAGTCACTAAAATAGTTAACATGCTTATCATGTTTGGCCCCGCAGTTATTCCACTTCTAGGATTCTTTCCCACAAAAATAAAAGTACTAGAACATTAAAGATGTTTGAATAAGGCTGTTTATTCCTGCTCTGGTTAAGATAGCTAAATCTGGAAAACAGTCTGAATGTTCATCCACAGAGGAGTGATTGGTAAACAATGGTTATGTCTGTCTTGTGAATATATGCAGTTATTTTTAAATGAGGTAGATAAACAGATTTGAAAAACTAAATATATTGATAAGAGCAAGTTGCAGAAATAAATACGTGTGTGAAAAAGTATACGGAAGATTTTTTTTTTTTTTTTTTTTTTTTTTTTTTTGAGACGGAGTTTCGCTCTTGTTACCCAGGCTGGAGTGCAATGGCGCGATCTCGGCTCACCGCAACCTCCGCCTCCTGGGTTCAGGCAATTCTCCTGCCTCAGCCTCCTGAGTAGCTGGGATTACAGGCATGCGCCACCATGTCCAGCTCATTTTTTTGTATTTTTAGTAGAGACGGGGTTTCACCATGTTGACCAGGATGGTCTCGATTTCTTGACCTCGTGATCCACCCGCCTCGGCCTCCCAAAGTGCTGGGATTACAGGCTAGAGCCACCGCGCCCGGCCTAAAGAAGATTTTTAAAGGCTGTACGACAGACTGTTCATACTGGCTATCTCGGGGTGGGGGAGATAAGAGTAAGATCTAATTCTTTTTGTTTGTTTGTTTGTTTTTAAGAGACAAGAGTCTCACTATGTTGCCCAGGCTGGTCTCGAATTCCTAGCCTCAAGCAGCCCTCCTACCTTGGCCTCCCAAAGTGCTAGGAATACAGGCAGGAGCCACCAAGCTCAGCCTAATTCACTTTTACTTTATTCCTCTCTACATTTTAAAATTGATTACAATTAGCTAGTATCTCTTCTATATAAAACATAATTATAGCACAAGAGGTTTTTTTTGAATTATTCTTTGAAGTTGTGTCATCTAATCAATCCTTATGGAAATCACAGGTGATTTATCATGGGGCTAATGTTGAAAAATTGTCCACATGTCACATGGTGTGTCCTCTATGAAGATCCATGGGAGAAATTTTCACTCCAGCTTGAATCTCCAGATATCTGTGGTTCATTTCAGATTTTATCTTTTGCTCATTGTGCATCTGGTAACTGATTATGTTTTCCTTTCCTCTGGCAACCAGGAATCTCAGAGTCAAGTTGTAGACTGTGTAGCAGGCATCTCCAGACTGCGGCCCCCTGAGGCCATTTATCCAACCCCCCCCCCCCCCACCGCCGCACTTCAGGAAGGGGCACCTCTTTCTTTGGTGGTCAGTGAAAGGAGCACAGTATGTGGCGGCCCTCCAATGGTCTGAGGGACAGTGAACTGGCCCCATGTGTAAAAAGTTTGGGGACGCCTGCTGTATAGTTTATTTAACACCCAGACCAGACCCTGTGGCTTATGTTCTATGCATAGCCCTTGCTGATGGAATCATCTTGTTCCCCACATTTATTTTCCCTCACCCACATTCATTCCTTTGTTTTAATTTTAACTGCTTATATTGTATGTATCCCTATTGCTACTTCTGATCTTTTTTGGGAGATGTGGTAGGGATATGAATAAATAATGACCAGAAATTTCTATTTTAACAGAAACCTGGGAAAGAAAACGTCTCAACAATGAGTAGGCCACCCATCACTACCAACAACAGATGACTTGCCATTTCATTTACAAAGGTAAGGAAATACAGCCTATATTTTTAACTAATTCTGATCAAATCAGTATAGAGCCCTTATCTTGTTTACTATAAATTTATTTACAAATATTCTGAAACATGTATCTAGGTCATAACCTTTAACTTTGACAACAAATTTGAAACAAACAGCAACAAGAAATTTTATGAATTTTGGTATGCCAAAAGTGTTAAAAAAAAAAAAATAAAACAAAACAAGATATGGTCTGTCTTACTAACTACTATGTGTGGTTAAATTTTTAAATAGTATTTTTCTCGTTTTTAAGTGTAGCAGTGCTCACTGTAGAATACTTGGAGAACCGAGCAGAATATAAAAAGGAAAACCTAAAGCTCTCATAATCCCATCTGTAGATAATCACCAGAACTTCTGAGAATGCCTTTCCTCCTTCCTTTTATGTGTATATGGAAAATATGTATGATTATAACTTCAAAAAAAACTTTGAGATGAGGTCTTAGTGTGTCTCCCAGGTGAAATTCATATAACGTAAAATTAGCCATTTTTAAATGAACAATTCCGTGTTCATTTTTAGTACAATTTAGTACATTTATAATGTTACACAGCCATTACCTCTATGCAGTTCCAAAACATCTGTATCACCTCAAAAGGAAACTTGATCTAGTCAGCCCTTGGTATCTGCAGGTGATTGATTCCAGGACCTGTGGATACCAACATATACTCAAGTCCCTTATCTAAAATGACATAGTATTTGCTTTTGTTTTTCTTTTTGAGACAGAGTCTCCCTCTGCTACCCAGGCTGGAGTGCAGTGGTGTGCTCATGGCTCACTGCAGCCTCAAACTCCTGGGCTCAAGTAATCCTTCTGCCTCAGCCTCCTGTATAGCTGGGACTACAAGTACAAGCATTGTACCTGGCTAATTTTTTATTTTTTATAAAGATGGGGTCTTACTGTTTTTCCCCATCTGGTCCCATACTACTGGCCTCAAGCAATCATCCCATCCCAGCTTCCCAAAGTGCTGTGATTACAGGTGTAAGCTACCATGCGCAGCCTGATTATCTAATGTTTTTTGTTGTTGTTGTTGTTGTTTGTTTGTTTTTGTTTTTTTTTTTTTGAGTTTCGCTCTTGTTACCCAGGCTGGAGTGCAATGGCACGATCTCGGCTCACCGCAACCTCCACCTCCTGGGTTCAAGCAATTCTCCTGCCTCAGCCTCCTGAGTAGCTGGGATTACAGGCACAAGCCACCATGCCCAGCTAATTTTTTGTATTTTTAGTAGAGACGGGGTTTCACCATGTTGACCAGGATGGTCTCGACCTCGTGATCCACCCGCCTCGGCCTCCCAAAGTGCTGGGATTACAGGCTTGAGCCACTGCACCTAGCCTATCTAATGTTTTTTAAAACAATGTTTTTAATTCGTACTTACCTTGGCTTCATTAGGTTAGCTACGCAGAAGCATAACAAGTCTAGGAAGAAACAGTACTCATTGCTGTGACCCTTGTAACAGCCCTCTGCAGTTTCCCAGTACATCCCCAGGCATCTTATTTGTTCCTGCCACATGGCCTCTCTGACTTCAGTGTCCATGGTTAATAGGTTCACGTGACCTTTGTGAAACATCACTCTACAGGAAAAACAACCAACCAAACCACCCTTGAATTCAGATGATAGTTCATGGCCTTCATTTGTCATTATTATATGTTTTGTGCTCTTAAAAGGATTTTTTTTTTTTTGAGACGGAGTCTCGCTCTGTTGCCCAGGTTGGAATGCAGTGGCGGAATCTCAGCTCACTGCAATTCTACCTCCAGAGTTCAAGTGATTCTCCTGCCTCAGCCTCCCAAGTAGCTGGGACTACAAGCGTGTGCCACCACACCTGGGTAATTTTTGTATTTTTAGTAGAGATGGGGTTTTTCCATGTTGGTCAGGCTGGTCTTGAACTCCTGACTTTGTGATTCACCCGCCTTGGCCTCCCAAAGTTCTGGGATTACAGGCGTGAGCCACCGTGCCCAGCCCAGGGATTGTTTTAGAAAAAAACCAGAAGTTTACCTGTTTTTTTCCTCCTCTTCCCTACTGTCAAGTCAGAGGTGATTCACAAAGTAATAAAAAATAATTTAAGACCATCTCATCCTCCATCCTTCATTCATGCCCATTAGTTAACCTTTTATTAAGGTGGTTTTTTAAAGCACCCTTCAGAGTTACTCTTGTAGTTTTTGGTTTTAAAGACTGCAAAGTCTTAAAAGTGAAATTACTGGAATGGCATTCTAATTTAGGGAGGTCTTCATTCTGTTGGCTCTGTTAAACGGTTGAAGGCCTGTATTTTACCCTGAGCCATATATATAAAGCATTTTATTTCTTCTGGCATTTTTACTCAAAACTTATTGAAATATTATTATGAACAGACTAGAAAAATGAATTATTCTTTAAGTCAATTTAAGCAGATACAACATGAAAAACAATAGTTTGTGAAACATCTGTCCTTGAAGATTCTATTCTAATATGGACTGATTAAGTAGACACAAATAGAATTGCAAAATTATGTAAGAGGGTGGTTTAATTGGTGGGCAGTACTAGATCTAGTCAGGCTGGCTAACCGTGATACTCGCATTTATTTTCCTGGATGGTTAGTAGTCATATCACGCTCATGGCAGTGTAGGTAAACTCAGTCACTTGGTTCCAAAGCAGAGAAATGTTTGATGAACTCCTAGCTTTAGTGTATGCTGTGTTTATTAAAAGCCCAGAATTTAAAGCATGCTTCAAAGGCTTAAAAGAAAGTCAGAAGTTTTACCCTTCCTTGATGTATTAAATGTTCTTCTTGCAATTTAAGGTAAGACCCTTAAATATAGTGGTTCCCTGATTATGAAGTTATCCTTGTTTACCACAGAAGTAACATAACTGGCTTTAAAAATTCAGATGAATTATAGGTTACATGTGAAAATCTTATTAGGAAGAGAGAGAAACACATCTGAATATCAGATCTCCCAGTGAAAGCATATTTTATCTTAAGGCATTAGAAGAAGTCACAAAGATATGCAATAGTTTTAAGTGTGTAAAAACGTAGAACTTCTCTATATCATAATTATGAAACAAGTTAAAAGGCACACAGTAAGTAGACTGGGCACAGTGGCTCACACCTATAATCCCAACACGTGGGGAGGCCAAGGTGGGAGGTTTGCTTGAGCTCAGGAGTTCAAGACCAGCCTGAGCAACTTGGCAAAACCCTGTCTCTACCAAAATAATTACAAAAAAATTAGACAGGCATGGTGATGTATGCTTGTAGTCACAGCTACTTGGGAAGCTGCGGTGGGAGGATTGTCTGAGCCTGGCAGGTTGAGGCTGTAGTGAGCCGTGATTGCACCACTGTACTCCAGCCTGAGTGACAGAGCAAGACCCTATCTCAAAAACAAAACAAAATAAAACAAAAAGCACACAGTAACACAGAATAATATTAATAATATACTTGGGAAGCAATTAAAAACCTTAAAACATAAAAATCAATAAGCAAACCATTAATATTAATAACCATAATAGGGAAAATTTAATAATGGAAACATTAAAACCTCCATAGATAAATTGACAAAACAATGGAAAACTCAAAGGAAGAAATACAAGGAACTAAAAATGATGCGAAAACAATGTTAACCTTCACTAGTAATTTTCATAGATGCAAATTAAAACCAGGAAATGATTTCCTTTACCTGTCAGATTAGCAAAGCAGTTTAAGGTGATAACAATCATTACTGAATGTGTAATGAAACAAGCACCCACTCACTGCTGATAGCAGTGTGAATGAGTATATTCTTCTCGAAATAAAGTTACCAATATGTAGTAAAAGCTTTACATTTTTTAATATCCTCGTATGCCCTAGCAGTTCCACGAATCTAGTCCAAGAAAACATTGAAGCTAGATAAAGATATAAGCGTAAAATATTTATTGTACTATTTGCAGGAATAAAACTCTTTGAACTGCCTCAACTGTCCTTCAATATGAGCGTTGACTAAAGTATTAACACACAGTGGTGTTCACACAGTGGTGTATCTTGTAACTAGAAAAAATTATTCTTACAATTATATTTTTGTAATCAAATGGGAAAATATTTATTACATAAATGTTCAGTGAAAAATACTGGTAAGATATTATTACAAGTTTTTACATATGAAAATGCACAGAATAAAAGGTAGAAATAAATAGACAAAATGTGAATAGTGAAGTTGCCCAAGGGTAGTAGAATTGAGTAATTTTTTTGTTCTGACTCATTTTTTGGTAATTCCCAGATATTTTTACAGTGAGCATTTATAACCTGAAGAAAAGTTTTTAAAAGGCTATGTAAAGCCAGGCAAGGTAGCTCACGCCTGTAATCCCAGCACTTTGGGAGGCTGAGGTGGGCGTATCACGAGGTCGGGAGTTCAAGACCAGCCTGACGAACATGGTGAAACCCCGTCGCTACTAAAAAACAAGAATTATCTGGGCATGGTGGCACATGCCTGTAATCCCAGCTACTTGGGAGGCCGAGGCAGAAGAATCGCTTGAACCCAGGATATAGAGGTTGCAGTGAGCCAAGATTGCGCCACTGCATTCCAACCTGGGTGACACAGACTCTGTCTCAAAAAAAAAAGGCTATGTAGCCTGCGCACAGTGGTTCATGCCTATAATCTCAGTTACTCAAGAGGCTGAGGTGGGAAGATTGCTTGAGCCTAAGAGTTTGAGGCTGCAGTGAGCCCTGATCACACCACTGCATTCCAATTCCAGCCTGGGTGACCGAGTAAAACCCCGTCTCTGAGAAAAAAAAAAAAAAAAAAAAGGCTTCGTAGAAAGAACCTTATACACATCCACTTGCTTTCATAGAGCATACGGAATAAAGTATGTTATGAAAATGTTTTAGATTTAGTTTTGAAAGATTGAGGAATGCAAATTTCTTTTTTAGTGTTCTGAAATTTTTCTTTCTTCCTTTCTTAGAAGCAACAGCAATAGCAATAACAAAAACATACTTAACTAAAATAGATCCTTTGGTTAGCAATATTATTCATATATTTTATTTCAGAGTAGCATTCAAGTTCAAATGGCAGTATGTTTCTATTTAGATGTCGTCCGCTGCTGAAAATGGAGAGGCAGCACCCGGAAAACAAAATGAAGAAAAAACCTATAAAAAGGTGAGTGTGCATTTTGTTTTCTTCAACACAGAAAGAGGAACACTGTTTTGCTGGCTGGAATGTGTATATTATCAAAAGCCTTTCTTTCTCCAAAACAGTTTTAAGTTACTTAGTTTCCAGTTGCTGCTATAATTAATTACTGCAAATTTAGTGACTTAAACAGCATGCATGCTTTATCTTAGAGTTCACTAGGTCAGAAGCCTGACATGGGTTTCTCTGGGCTGAGATCCACGTATCTGCAGAGCTGCATTCCTTCCTGGATGCTCCAGGGAGGAGTCCACTTCCTTGTGTTTTCCGGCTTCTACAGGCTCCCTGAATGCCCCGTGTCATGGCTCTCTGCCATCTTCAAAGCCAGCAATGGCCGGTGGACTCTCCTAGACTGTATCACTCTGCTACTTTAAAGGGCTTATGTGATTGCACCGAGCCCTGCTAGGCTCACAGCAACATGGAAAAATATTAAGAATGAATATTCTTTATCTAAAAGGTCAGCTGATTAGCATTGTTAATTTACTCTGCAACTTGAATTCATTTTTGCCTTATAAAGAGGCATATTCACAGGTCCCGAGGATTAGGGCGTGAGCATCTCTGTGGGTCACTTCACGTTACCATAATATAGAATATTGAGGGAAGATAGTTGTTTGCAGATGTTTCTTATTCCTAAGAAGAAGGCTCCTGAGGGCATGCAATGTTCTGTGTATAATATATAAACCCTTTAATGACTCAGCACTTTCCACCAACGTTTGAAACATTTCCTATCTTTGTATTTAAGAATTTTTAAAATGTGAGATGCTCCTCTTCTCTGCCTTTTTTTTTTTTATTTTTTTTTTTTGAGACAGAGTCTCACTCCGTCACCAGGTGCTAGGCTGGAGTGCAGTGGCTTGTCCTCGGCTCACTGCAATCTCTGCCTCCTGGGTTCAAGCAATTCTCCTGTCTCAGCCTCCCGAGTAGCTGGGACTACAGGCGTACGCCACAACGCCCAGCTAATTTTTTTGTATTTTTAGTAGAGATGGGGTTTCACTATGTTGGCAAGGATGGTCTTGATCTCTTGACTGCGTGATCCACTCGCCTCGGGCTCCCAATTCTCTGCCTTTTCTAAGCTGCTCAGATTTTATGTCTTCAGCCCATTTCATAAAAACTCTTTTTGCAGACTTCCTGGTGTATCTTAACTTACCATTATTTGACTTTGATAAATTCTTGGCTCCCAGCTACCAAGCTAATGTTCAAACACATTACTTGGTAAAATACGTTCCCAAGCACCTCTACTCCTGATTATAAATTGACTATACGTTTTAGCTTTTCAATGTTCTCGCTCTTTTGCCCTCTTAAGAGTAGGAGGTTTGTGTATTGAACGTTTGTTATTTCTTAATTTTTCCCTTTTCCTTTTATACTTTGATGGATAGCCTGTAAGACATTTAGTCATAAAGTACATGAGTTATGTGCTCTGGCCACTTATTCAGGTCATGGAACTAGCATGATGTATTTTCTGTTTCATTTTCATGTGAGAGAGTATGCACTTTTTCCTGGTACATCTTTTTTATCTGATTTTTTCCACTCAGCCAAACCTTAAAATATAAACCAGAGAGGTTGTCATCCAAAGTGATGGTGTGCTTGGAAGAGAGTTGGGTAAAGATTCAAGAGCTCAGAAGTGTCGTGGTATATTTTATAAAATTTGTACATCTGGCCAAAGGCAACAATATGCTATTATTTCTTTTTAGACACAGGTGGAAAACCAAATTCTGTCTCATTTACCCAGGATTCTGTGTACATTAATTCAAGCATGAGTCCAACATAGAGATAATTAAATTGCTAGCCTGTTACTACTTCAAATCAGTTTCAGGCAATATTCTCAATCAGCATCAAGATCCACTGAAATTCTTGACTGAGTTCTGACCCACAGGAGATCCCTTGTGGCTGCGAAAGTTATAGAAAAAAATGTGACCATGACATCTTGGAGTCTGTTAAGTATACCCAAGAATTTATTTAGTGGACCATGTTTTCATTAATCAGTATAAGTAATTCTATGATTAATGCCTCTAGTAGGATATTTAACTTGGCAATGTTTTTTAGGTTGTAAAAACTAAAAATCAAACTCTATGGTAGCAGATAAATATGAGAAATAAGGAAAGACACAGGAAACCTAAGGGGACCAAATTTTTTTTTTAATGAACAATTTTTTTATGTGTAATAATATCAGAATCTTTTTAATGATTTCTGGTTTTAAAAGGTATAAGCAATGGAAGAGAAGGTACATAGCCTTTCCTAAAAAGCACCAAGAAGACCAGCACAGCACTTAGAACTTCAGCTCTTAATAAATATGGTACCGATAGGCACAGCAAGAAGAAGGAATCACTTAGAGAAAGTGTTGTTTTATTGACAGGTAAAAGCTCAGCTGAATTATTCAGTTTAATTCTCTGATCTTCAAACTGGAGGAGGTGTTAATAGTGGACTTAGAAGTTAGCTATTGCAAATGTATTTATCTCAGAGTTAAGAGAGGTAATAATAAGAGGCATATGAGGTATTGCAAATTTGTTTAGGTGCAGATGAAAGAACTTAAAGCTAGAATAGGGAAACCTCTGAATGTGAGCTTTAAACAAATTGGAGAATGGGAAAATTGCCAGAAAACAGGACATAAGCAAATATTATTCCTATTTTCAAAAATGAGGAAGAGTATGTTCTGGAAACCAGATTATGAGTCATTGTTCTCCAGGATAATTTAAGCATTATTATTAAACATATGGTTTATACATATTTAGAGAAGAAACTTATCTTTTACAAACCTGGAGAAGTTCATAAAGATGTAGTTTATGATGGGGAGGAAGGCAGCAAATCACACTGCCACGTGTGTAGCTATGCAACAATCTTGCATGTTCTTCACGTGTACCCCAAAACCTAAAATGCAATTGAAAAAAAGATGTAGGAAACTGCATTTCCTACTTTGAGAGAGTCATTAAATTACTCATAAAGAGTATGTTTAAATTTAATGAATCTTGATTTAAAGCAATCTAAAAGTTTTGCTAGTCTCCTTTCAGACAAGGTAGGTAAGTATGGGTTAAATATTATGTTTAGTGTGCTTGTATCTGGTTGGACTAATGATTTCGAGAACTGGCAATTTTGCTCCCTATTCACTCAGTCTTTACCAGCATGATGCATGAGTTAATCCTGGGTAGCTTAACATTTTCACCCATGACCTTAGTGAAAGCATAAAAGCAGTGCTTTGCAAATGCAAATAACCAAAAACTGTAAATGATAGCAAACAGACTACATGTGTGTTGTTGAGGCCAGCATGCATCTTATCCCTTTACAAATACCTTAAGTTAAAGTTCTTCCAGTCCCAAAGCCCTGACCAGAAGGTATGGACCGATTTAATAAGGAGCTTTGATGACCCACTGTGTTTTTGCCTTGACTGAATCAAGTTCATGGATCTCAGGTTAAGGCTCCTGATCCTCTATGTGCGGAGTAAGAAACATGCCACTGGAGTAACTTTTTAAGTAACTTACAGTGGAGTGGGAGAGGCAAGACATGAAAACGATTTTAGAACACAGTAGTCCATAATGAGAAGTTCAAAAGAGAAGAGACCAATACTGGTAAAATGAAACAGCAGGTTTAGGCTTTCTGTATCCAGCCCCAGATTTACTGGGCAGCTGCCAGCAACATTCATTGTCATGAGTGCTATGATTTCCACGTTATTAGGGAACACTCAGTGTTCATGGGACAACTTTGTACTCTGTGTCTCAGCTATTTGCATGTGATTATTGAGGCTGGCTGTCTTTTGTCTTGCAGTTGGCCATTTCCTCATCAATTCTCAGTTCTTGGCAAGCCCAGGAAGAACAGCTAACATTGGTCCTTGAGGTTAATAATGTCTTCTGCTAATGGCTAAAATAAGAAGCTTGATTTTAGCTGCATAAAACAAACATGTTGCCCACTAAGACAGGCATTCAAAGTGGCCTGGCTCTATTTACAGAGTTGAGTATTTCCATTATCAGTTAATTTATTGAGTGCCTTCACAAGAGTTGTAAATGCAGAAGTCTGCTGGGGCCAGGCAGCTAAGAAGGTAGTGAAAAAACGAGGGAACCATTGTCAACAGGAGAATCCACTCCTTCCTTAAAAGGGGCAGCAGGTACTCAGCTCCAGCCAGCAGAGCTGTGCATGAATGTTTGCCCAGGGTTGCCAGATACTCTGATTTTTTTTTTTTTTTCAAGAAAACAGAGATGAAATTTTTGATGTGAATCTGCCATTTTTAAATGACAGCAGCTAATTCAAAGGTTTTTTTAAATACTCTGGACAAAACAATTCACCTATGGACCCTATCTGGCCCCTAGGCAGTGGCCAGTTTACAACCTCTGACCTCCCTGTTGGTATAAAAAAGTGAGAAGGAAAAAAGGAAGACGCAAAAGAAATGTAAGAACTTGTCTCTGCCTCCCCTGACATTAACAATTTATTTGGGAGACAAAAGATGGACCCACGTGAAAAAATTAAATCTTGACCCAAATTGGTGTCAAGTGCCAAGATGAGTGTGTTATTTTTTTATTTTTATTTTTGTTATTTTTTTTTTGAATGAAGTCTTACTCTGTCGCCCAGGCTGAAATACAGCGGTAGGATATTGGCTCACTGCAACCTCTGCCTCTGAGGTTCAAGTGATCGTCCTGCCTCAGCCTCCCGAGTAGCTGGAACGACAGGCGCACACCACCACGCCTGGCTAATTTTTGGTATTTTAGGAGAGATAGGGTTTCACCATGTTGCCCAGGCTAGTCTTGAACTCCTGAGCTCGGGCAACCCACCTGCCTCGGCCTCCAAAAGTGCAGGGATTACAGGCGTGAGCCACAGCGCCTGGCCGAAAATTCCACTTTTTAAGTGACTGTGCATTCTGATTTACCTACTTGTTTCTCTTGATGGCAGGGAGTCCAGTGAGCACAAGCACAAAATCGGGGAGGAGCATGATTTGTTGGCATTACAGGAGAGGCTGGCCTGGACAAGACTAAGTGACACTGTCTAAGGGGAAG